ATAATACTATTTTGACACCCTGGCAAAATCTCCCTTTTTATTTTTTTCATGAATCTCACTACCTTAGAACTTGACACTATATACTTTTATTTTATAAAACTGGGGCATTTTATACCTACAGATCCTATGCGGACTCGACTTAACTTTGAAGGACCGAACAGACTTTTACAGTACCCGGAATATCATAGCCTTTCAAAGCTTAGATTAGTGTTACATATCACCCTGGACTAACCAACCATCTCGCAGTTGGTTTCTTATATTTGAATTCTATCACGTGTTGGTATAAAATCCAGCAATCTTTAAACTTACAGAGTTATTTAAAACGAATATGACGGAAAAAATTAAAAAAGTGAAAAGGCGAACAAATTATGTTTCGTACAGATAAAATTGTAATCGAAAGTCACAGTTTACTTGTTGAAGGACAAAAAAGTTAAATCTATGCTTTGTAGACTATAAAATTAATTTTCGATATCTTTTAGTTAAAATATATATTAATTTACCTTTGCTGATCTTTTTATCGCATATTCTGGAGAATGGAAAAATTGGAAACCAGGTAAATATCCATCTTAAATTTAATTAAGTTAATTATAAACAGTTCTTAATTTAATTAATTTTTTTTTGTTAGAATTGGGTCGCACTTCTTGTTTTCCAGCTTATTTGCAGTTTGTTTTGATTAGTTCAAAATCACTGTTCTATAGTGAAAGCAAAGTGAAAACAGTGGGACCCACAAACTATGGATTGTAACATGGCAATTGTGCAGTGTACACAGACCCATTTTACTCAAAAGTTGATTTTTAAACCGTATCAAATATAAATAAGTTTGCTTAAATGTTGTTTCCCTAATCCTCAGTTTCATAGGTCCCACTGCATGTGCATTACTGGACCTGGTGCAAAGGCGTTTACTGGGAGTTCGAACCTCTTTAAACAAATTCCTGTACACGCCGTGGTGGGGGTGCGAAGTGTCCTGAATTCCTGTACACGCCGTGGTGGTGGTGCGAAGTGTCCTGAATTCCTGTACACGCCGTGGTGGGGGTGCGAAGTGTCCTGAATTCCTGTATACGCCGTGGTGGGGGGTGCGAAGTGTCCTGAATTACCTGACAATATCTGAAGCTAGTGTAAGGTTCTCACTACCGACCTCTCCAAACAGACGGAGCAGATAAACAGCTGTAGACGCTATAGACCCAGCCAGAATATTCACGATTATCAAAAATGAAAATCCTGAAAAAATGTTTCTATAGAATTCCGCACAGTCTTCTCTGAAGTTTCATGCTTTGTGGGTAACCCTGTATAATAACTTAAAATCAACATCTATCACCATACACTATACAGGTAGAATTGATCGTAATGATTTGGAAATGATTAATGCTAATACTTAATATATTAGATCATTCACATCCGCCATTTTAAATCGACCAAATCAACATGGCGGCGCCCTACCTCCAGCTGCTGTTGAGAATGCAAAGCTTGCCGCGTAGGAGAACGGGATTCCAAAGAATCCAAGAAAAACGAGGATTAACAGAAACGCTCCTAAAAAATTTTATTCTGATATTGTATTTTAGCACAACTTATTAAAATTAAACAATCCCTTTAAATAAAGGGTCACTAAATATTTCGTAAACAGTCTCTTTAACTAATGACCTGGTGCTCCATGGTTGGTAAGAGTCTCGTTAGTGTCCACTGCTAGGATCAATCCAAACATGACGAGGGCGGAGAGCAGGTAGAGGAGGACATCCCAGAGCAGGTTGGACAACCAGAACAATCCTAGAGTACAATATACAGTACAGGACAACCCTAGAGTACAATATACAGTACAGGACAATCCTAGAGTACAATATACAGTACTGGACAACCCTAGAGTACAATATACAGTACTGGACAACCCTAGAGTACAATATACAGCACTGGACAACCCTAGAGTACAATATACAGCACTGGACAACCCTAGAGTACAATATACAGCACTGGACAACCCTAGAGTACAATATACAGTACTGGACAACCCTAGAGTACAATATACAGCACTGGACAACCCTAGAGTACAATATACAGCACTGGACAACCCTAGAGTACAATATACAGCACTGGACAACCCTAGAGTACAGTATACAGTACTGGCCAAAATTAGAGTACAATATACTGTACTGGACAATCCTAGAGTACAATATACAGTACAGGACAATCCTAGAGTACAATATACAGCACTGGACAACCCTAGAGTACAATATACAGTACTGGACAATCCTAGAGTACAATATACAGTACAGGACAATCCTAGAGTACAATATACAGCACTGGACAACCCTAGAGTACAATATACAGTACTGAACAACCCTAGAGTACAATATACAGCACTGGACAACCCTAGAGTACAATATACAGTATTTGACAATCCTAGAGTACAATTACTAGTCCCATAAATTTTCTAATATCTTTATCTTTTCAACCTGATGGTGTAAACCTTGATATTTCATAATTAGACTACTTGATCTGACAGAAGTCATAGTTTAACATATCTGAGGTCTATGGCACTTGGTTGCAAAGATTTTGAGATTAGAAAATTAGATTTTGTGGCAAAGGCTCCTCCATTTCTCTGTACCTGGAGATAGTCCGGCCATAATCTGAACTTGCTTAGCACTTGTTGCACGCTCATTCAGAGGGAATATCAGAAAAGCAGAAACTAGATAAATACAAATATTTCATACAGAGCCAGATCGTTGTATTTTCAATTGAACCGCCATTTACAACGGCACCCTGTAAACCTTTATCTGATCAATAATTTTGAAGATATCATCATGTTTCTAGTATGAAAAGTGTTAAATCTTAATTTTCATATTATGTTTGTGCAGCAGAAATGCGCAAATTACTTTAGAAGAGAAACCACAATTAAAAATAATGAATTTTTTAAGAGATAAGCATGAATATATCAGTCCTTCTTGATCAGACAAAGGTTTTAAGGGTACCGGTGGGAATCGGACACCTACAGTCCCTTTAAATTCTTTTTAGAACTTACCCAGGATAGAAAGGCCAATTGGAATAACAATACCGTAACCAAATATAGCAAAAGTATTCTGACCGCTGGATATGTTCTCAAATTCATCCTGGAATAAAGAGAAACAATATGAAATAAATTTAATAACGGGGTTTCCACGTGATTGGAAAACAATAATGCAAAAGAACTACATACTAATTATATTTATAGAAAATAAGCCATAAAAAAACTTTCCAAAAAATGTAAAAAGTTTAAATAATGTCAAAAGTGTAAACATTTTACAAAAGTTCTTGACGATATGATGAGATGCTACATATAGAATATTTCTTAAAAGTTTTCGATAGGTCATACCCAATTACAACACTATAATATCTAATTATTCTTTAGAAATATTAAAAACCTGTTTGCTCTCTGGGAGAGGGTGTGTGGTAACTTCAATGGAATGTTTAATTTGAGAATTCCTTTCAAGATATCCAAGAACAGAATTGCTATAATTAAAGTAAAAGATTTAGTTTTTAAATTGTTTCAAAGTTGAGAACTTTTAATTGAATGGTGCTGATCTAATTCATTCCAAGGTACTAATGCAAGGAAAGTTATTTCAGATGTTTACGCATTTTTTGCACTTCAGCGTACTGTCTTTGGGCGGAAATGTAAACACAAGACGGATGTCACAGCCTGACATGGAATCCATTTTCACAAAAATAATCTATGAAATATTCTGGTCATAGGAAACTGTTATGTGAATTTTCAAAATTATCAAAATTAAATGCTTTTCTCCTCCTCGGATACTAAAGGAACACTGATGCATCTGATGCATCTATTCTTGTTTACAAATTCCGCCCAGAGAGAACTGGTTTCAATATGTACGCAGAGTAGAGTATACGCAACCGCAATTAACATTCCTTGCATTAGATACCTTAATTCATATTCAATGAGTTAATTTTATTCAATTTGTTCCATTTATTTGTTTCTAATACAAGAAAGAAACAAATAGCTATAGTTTTCAATTGACAATCTACGCAAAGATGACAGTGCCTGATTTACAACAGTACTCTTAACAGCCTTGTCTGATCATGAAAGTGAATTAGATATCAATGATTAGGATTTTAAAGTTTAAATTGTGGTTTCTCTATTAAAACGACTAGCGCATTTTTACTAAAGGAAATTATATAGAAGTTATCAGAATTTAACACTTTTAGACCTAAACTATATCTTCCACATTATTGATCAGGTTTCGAGGGTACCATTGTGAATCGGACATTGCCATCTTTGCATGATGGGTCACTTGAAATTACGCTTACAAAAGTCTTTCCAATCCAAAGTGAGGAAGTTTTGATTGGATTGGATTAACTTAATCTATTTAACGAGGTAAATTTAATAAATTATTTCAATTTATTAGTTTAAACTTTTGAGTGTGTATCCGAACCTCCCAGAGGAAGGGTGTAAGCAGAGCTTTCTAAGCCTGTTGAGAGAAAGGGCGCTATGTGCGTTGTACTTGTATAGAAGTCTAGATATCAAGGACACTTCTCTCCACAACTGAGTGGAAAGCGTGACTAATTCCGAACAAGATAAAGTAATAAAGATGAATACAGAAGCAATATTCAAAACATAAACAAACAAAATGTAAACATAGCAGACGAAACTCTTACAGATTACAGCTTTCTCAGTAGGTATCACTCTGCTAAATCAAAGAATTATTCATAAAGACGATATCGAATTCGTCACTGAATTCCCATGTTTTTTGGGACACCCTGTAGAAGAAATATTTAACAAGGGGGAAAAATATTGAAAGCGTATTTTTAAATGAACCTTCATGCAAAGATGGCAATGCTCATCTTCAAACTTTAAGCTGTTCAAAATTGTGGAAGATACCGTCGTTTGTCTGACTCAAAAAGTGTTTATTTCTGTCAGTTTCTCCATTGCTTCTTATAGCAATGAAACCGCAAATGAAAATAAAAATTTTAAGAAACAAAATCATTGATATATAATATGCACTTGATCAGATAAAGCTTTTAGGATACCGTTGTAAATCTGGGATAGCCCTCGATATAATAAAGAGTTACTAGAAATTACTCTTACATTCCCTTTATAGGTTATAATCAAAGAAAATAGAATATATATTAGAGTGGAATTTACAAGAAAAAGTGTAAAACGGCCATTTTGTTGTACTGTTTCCATACTGCAGGTGTACTTCACATATTTATGCTATATAACCTTATGGACCCTGGAACATCATTTTATAGAAAATCTAAACTTAACTAAAAGAAAACCAAATTATGAAATAGGCTGGTTTCATAATTGACCAATGATTATTTCACATAGACTCTATGCCTTTCACTTTAGAAACGATGATTTTACGTTATAACTATAAATCAAATGATGTCTTTTATTCACCTAATTCATTTTATAAGGTTTATTTAACAGCTTTAAAAAATTCGAAATTGAAATGGATAGTATAAACATACTGTATAAACATACTGTATAAATGTACTCTACTGCATTTAATTTGTGAACATTTACATGAATTGTACACTTTGAACTCCCTTTCATGCTGAAAGGGACTGACAAAATTCATTGTCTAAATTCCACTCTAATATATATTCTATTCTCTTTGATTAAAATTGCTACCTGAGTTCTAACTGTGCTAAGGGTTTACTATGAATAGGAATACTGTTGTAGATCCCTGAATTTCAGATTTAACAGATTAGAGACAGGATTTACTGAATTTTAACCGGGTCTAGAGACGGTTCAACCAGGCCTAGAGACGGTTCAACCAGGTCTAAAGACGGATCAAACAGGCCTAGAGACGGTTCAACCAGGCCTAGAGACGGTTCAACCAGGCCTAGAGACGGTTTCTAGTTAGTATGGGATATGCATGATGATATATATGAGAGACCTGTTTAGAAATTTTGGGGCGGGGGGGGGGGGGGGGGGGCGGAAAAATATCTGTTTAATCTGTTCCTGTGGCGAATAGACCCTTCCAAGGAAGTCCTGGCGTATCAGGTAGAATATATAGTTCGGTCACCTCGTTGAACTCTCCAGCTATTATGTAGGAATCCTTATATACAGCCATTCCTTCAGTTCCTTAAACAGAAAGTTCATTACAGGGACTGTGAGCATAATTTCAAGTGATCGTTCAGTAAAGATGACAATGCCCTTGAAACTTTAATGTTTTGTTTCAGTATACTTGTTAAAACAAAGCTTTTTAGAGTAACATGGTAGATTGGGCATTGCCATCTTTGCATGGAGGGTCACTTGAAATTTCGCTTCCGTTCTTTACTTTGAGTAATTTCTGAGAATACTAAATTGATTAAATTATTTTTTTTTATCAATTGGATTGTTTTGATTTGATTCATTCAGTAGATTTGGTTCATTTAGTTTTTGTTTATACAGTTGATTTAACGTTTAGTTTTTAAAATCAGTTTGACCCATTGGTGACAATTAGGTCAGTTTCGACCTATAAAATAAATTTGATATTTGGTAAACTTGTTATAGCAGCGTTCTTTTTCATCGTAGGCCTTTCTATTCTCTATGGTCTAACATGTTAGCTCTAGCACAAGATTTTATTCGATTGTTCAGAACAATAAATTAGGACCTTTCATGGAAATTTCTGAAAAAATATTCGATTTTTCCCTAATATTTTTATATGAAAACATGTAATGTAAATGTTGAAATCGAAATGTCTTTCTTTATGGGTAGTGCTCATTTGATGTATGATTATGAATTCATCACTAAACCTACACTTGTATATTTTTAAAAGTAATGATGAGTATTTTAAAAAGCATGTAGTTTAACTAAATATTTTATTAGTTCCTTCTGTACTAAAATTGAGCATATTTCATGATTTGTCCATGATCTATAGTCTAATTTGTTTGGTTGAATTGTTTTATATGATTGATTTATTTTGTAAAAAGAAAATTAAGGGAAATGAGTTTTTACCACAAACTCTCAAATTTTAAAATCATTTTATCTTTGTCACGTGATGGCGTAAACCTACGATATATCAAAGATAGATTATTTTATCCAACAGAATTCTTAATTTTTAAATATTTAAGGTCTACGACATTGGGTTGCAACGATATAGGGTTTATTAACTAAGAGTTTGTGGCAAAGACTCAATTCCTTGCTTACCATCTACTCCAGTAATGATGCTTTCTGATACATTTGGAGAGTAAACTGTTTTCCCAAATCTGGCAGTGTTGTTCCCAAAAATATAGGCCATATCTTGGGACATATTATCTAAAATATATAAAATATAGGCCATATCTTGGGACATATTATCTAAAATATATAAAATATAGGCCATATCTTGGACATATTATCTAAAATATATAAAACATAGGCCATATCTTGGGATAAACTATCTAATTTATATAAAATATAGGCCATATCTTGGGGCATATTATCTCAAATTATAAAATATAAATCATATCTTGGGTCATATTATCTAAAATATATAAAATAAAGGCCATATCTTGGGTCATATTATCTAAAATTATAAAATATAGGCCATATCTTGGGACATATTATCTAAAATTATAAAATATAGACAATATCTTGGGACATATTATCTAAAATATATAAAATATAGGCCATATCTTGGGACATATTATCTAAAATTATAAAATATAGACAATATCTTGGGACATATTATCTAAAATATATAAAATATAGACCATATCTTGGGACATATTATCTAAAATATATAAAATATAGACCATATCTTGGGACATATTATCTAAAATTATAAAAATATAGGCAATATCTTGGGACATAATATCTAAAATTTTACTTATATCTAGGGACATATCATCATTATGTGAATGAACAAGATTTTTCGTGAACAAAGGTATCATTCAGAAAAAAAGAACGATGGACTGGAAACGACTTGGATCATTTAGAGAAACGAACAAAAAAAACAGTTTAAAATCAAGCGGATTTTAAACGATAGCTTTTCACTGAACGAACGATTTTTTTTACAATCTTTAAAAAACACTATGGTTTTTTAACAAAAAGACTATTTTGTTGAACAAACGATTTTGCTGAACGAGCGATTTTACTAAACGAACGATTTTACTGAACAATCGTTCAGTAAGAAAACGATGAACGAACGAAACAAATAAAACTCATGCTCATGCATGGAGTTAAGTTATAGGATCTGTATATGCTCCTAGGCTAAGGGATAAAGGATGATTATTCCTTTAAGTTCACCTGTTCCAATGAAAGTGGTAGGATCTGTGTATGCTCCTAGGCTAAGGGATAAAGGATGATTATTGCTTTAAGTTCACCTGTTCCAATGAAAGTTGTAGGATCTGTGTATGCTCTTGGGTTAAGGGATAAAGGATGATTATTCCTTTAAGTTCACCTGTTCCAATGAAAGTTGTAGGATCTGTATATGCTCCTAGGCTAAGGGATAAAGGAGGATTATTGCTTCGTCGAGTTTCAACCCTGGAATATATATAATTGCATTATTTTATAAAACTGGGAAATCATCATCATTGGAGTACTATCGGAGATCCCCATTTATCTATGGAGATCCCCTTTCATCTGAGACTTCCACAGCAATCTCAACGGAGACCCCAATATTTTCATTGGAGACCCTAGATGATGGGGTTAATGTATGATCTCTTGTAAATCTGGAGATTACTATAAGAATCTTTATTCAATATTTGCAGTGTAATTGTACGCTGAAGAGAGCATTGGATACTAAAATTAAAAGTGCCCGCAATGTAAATTGAGATTAACTGATCAGGATCATAAGTATCCAACACAGAGCTGGGAACTTAAGTACAGGATATTTATATTTCTGATCGCCTGATCTCAATATCCTCAATTTGTAGACGACAAGACGGGACAGTACACCAGGAGTATATATAGACGGTAAGACTGGACAGTACACCAGGAGTATATATAGACGGCAAGACGGGACAGTACACCAGGAGTATATGTAGACGGTAAGACTGGACAGTACACCAGGAGTATAGATAGACGACAAGACGGGACAGTACACCAGGAGTATGTGTAGACGGCAAGACTGGACAGTACACAAGATGGATCAACTCTCTTTCAGAGAGATTAATGTGTCCAATTAGCTAAATTATTGAGTACCATTTAAAAAAATTTCCCTTTAATTCATGAAATTATGTTTTTAAATAATTTACTTACGCGTTAAGAGATAACACATTGAAGAGAGCCATTCCTATTGGGACCAACATCATGACAATGTATAAAATTGGTCGCCTAAATGAAGATATGTTATTTTATTTTATTTTTAAGCCATGGGCACTGAGATTTAGACAACTCTGATAGTTATTCATCAAATTTTTAGAATTTAGGCAGTCTCAACTTTTAAGTATCTCAACTAGGGTTTCCACCGGAATTCCGGGTTACGGTTTACGTACGGAAATGATCCGGAAATTTTTCCATTTCCATTATGGAAAAGGTTCCGGAAATCCGGAATTTCGGAACTATTTTTTCCCGTAAACCGGAAATTTCCGGGACGCTGTTCTGGAATTACGGAACGTTACGGAATAGTGTTCCGGAAAATTCCGGTTTACGGAACAATTGTTTAAGTGTCTCACTCTCAACAGCTTGGTTTTTGGTTTTAACTCACAAACTAACTTTTTTTGAAGTCTGTAGCCCTTGGCATATAGCATTCTAAAATTGAAATATGTTTGTTTCTAGCTTAAGTTTAAATGGAGAAATTGGCTAAAAAGGTTCAATTAAAAACGTAATTGAAAAGGATTTTGCTGCCGCATAGCAAACAAAAGAATTGAGTCTTCACCACAATGTCATATTTTCCAATTCTTCTATCTTTGCAACCTGATAGTGTAAACTTTTGATATTTCAAAAATACATTATTTGATCTAACAGAATTCATTGTTTGAAAAGTCTAAGGTTTACGACATGGGGTCAGTCAAAGTTATTCATGGTATCTTTTAGAATCGTTCATTGCCATCTTTGCAGGGTTGCACTTGAAATAACGCTTACAGTCCCTTTAATAGTTGAAATAATTACCTGTACGTGTAAATCATTCGTTTGTTTAACAACCCTCTTAGCTGGTTCAAATACAACTTCAATCCTAATAAAAAATCTAAATTCTGATTTTTTTCTTAGAAAATACCGTCCTCTCCAGTCTCCCCTTTCAAAAATCATTTATTGAAGAAAAAAATCTGAACAAATTCACTTTATATCATTGTAAACAAATTCCAACCCTACTTTCTCGGTAGAATTTTTTCATTTTAATCTCAAAAAAGGAGTTGAGTTTTTGCCACTAAGTAAAATGTCTAATTCCTATATCTTCGCAACATTTAATATTCTAAACTTATAATATTTGAACTAATTCAGTTTTCAAACTTTAAAATATCAAAGGTCTGCCATATTTAGTTGAAAAGTCAGAGTTTACGGCGAAAACAATTTATTTCGCAAAAAAAAACATTGACATCATCAAGGAGTTGATTAAATGTTTGGAGAGTAACGAATGCATAATTATTTGGGTGAAGGAAAGGACTTTCAATTTAAGTCTTACTACCCCCCCCCCCCTAACGGTTTAGATGGGTGGGGGTGGGGGGGGGGGAGGAGTTTTTTTAGTACAAAAATAATATACCTGTGGCAAGTTTGCGAGGTTGTAGGTGGCCATTTCTACCATTTTGCACTAAAATAATAATAATTCATTTATATGGATTGTTCCCAAATTTTGAATAGTAGAGTGAGGGTCTGTGTAGTGTGTACACACAATTGATTCAAAGTAATTCAGAGTCATCAAGATTAAACAACCGAAGCCGTTCGGTTTTGATCTAATAAAAGCATCTCTCCGTGAGGCGAGATTTTTCGCATTTCCGTAAAATTTTGATACAGTTTTATATCAATTTCTCGAGACAGGAGCATCAGATAAATGTCTTATATGTATCGTTCAACACCTGAGATTCTCAGGTTTCATCCTATACCCCCTTTCATTTTTCCTTTACAGTCCCTTTAATGGACTACTATAAATCATAAAATCTTCCTAATCCAAGACTTTGAGATCAAATACATGGAAACTTATTTTGTCTCCTTTTTATTATACTCGGAGGTGGGCGGTTTTATCAATATAATGAAGACGACTTTTGAGTTAATTTTTGATTTCTATAAAGCATGGATACACAAAAACATGGAAACGGAGAGAAGCTGTCAATAAGAAAAGCTTATCTTTAATTGCTTGTAAACTTGTAATTCGATAAAAGCTTGCTAACAATAAAAACTTAATAAAAAGTCGTCTTCATTATATTGCTTTAATCGCCTACCACCGTATAAAGTTATAAATAAATGGGACTGTTGCAGGGGTCAATATAATTCCCAAAAAAACTGATTTTCCCGATCCCAAAATAATTTTTTGCCCCCAACTTTAAAAAAATGCCCCCAATTAAAATTTTTTTTTCAAATTCCACTAACACATTTGCCCCCATTGCCCCCAATTTGAAAAAAATGCCCCCAATTAAAGTTTTTTTTTTCAAATTCCACTTACACATTTGCCCCCATTGCCCCCAATTTGAAAAAAAATGCCCCCAATTTAAAAAAAATGCCCCCAATTAAAATTTTTTTTTCAAATTCCACTAACACATTTGCCACCATTTGCCCCCAATTTAAGAAAATGGGACTACTTCAAATCTGCATGAGACGTCATCAGTTTAATAATCCCACCTTTTCTAGAAGCTGCAGCAGTAAGAACATGTTTGATAATATCATGTTCAGATAATTCACCAATCTTCAAGTTACATCCTCCCTTGTTGTTAAACTAACCTGTTCTAGCAGCTGCAGCAGTGAGAGCATATTTACTATCATCATGTTCAGATAGTTCACCAATGTTCAAGAATACATCCTCCATTGTTGTTCTAGATGCTGCAGCGGTGAGAGCATGTTTGCTATCATCATGTTCAGATAGTTTACCAATCTTCAGGAATACATCCTCCCTTGTTGTTAAACTAACCTGTTCTAGATGCTGCAGCGGTGAGAGCATGCTTGCTATCATCATGTTCAGATAGTTCACCAATGTTCAGGAATACATCCTCCCTTGTTGTTAAACTAACCTGTTCTAGATGCTGCAGCGGTGAGAGCATGTTTACTATCATCATGTTCAGATAGTTCACCAATCTTCAAGAATACATCCTCCATTGTTGTTAAACTAACAACACATCATTCAAAGGTAAGGCCGACCACAAACATTAATAAAGAATTATAAGAAGTAGTGGATTTTTTAACCATGAAATTTGATAGGTAATTTACTAACAAATCGTTTTCACATAGTTTTTTCGTAAAACAATTATTTTGAATATGTTCCTGATTCCCAAATGTTCTATTCCAAGTGAATTTGATTTTTTCTCTAACTCCTCAAACATATCAGGGAATTTTGAGCTTTGTTCTAAACCAATACTTTTTTCATCAAAAAATAATTATTCACGACTTTACTATACAGGGATGTTATAGGAAATTCACTTTACCAAGGGTTCCAAAGAAATTAACCAAGGGTTCTTAGAAATTCTGTTCATCTCTTCGGTAAAGCAAATGATTTTAAAAAAACACTGAGGTAAATTAGAAATGAGAAACGTCCCAGTGAAGAACGCCTTATGGAAATATTTTTGTTTGCAGGGAAATTATGATTCATATTCATTCCATGGGGCAGTTATCAGAATGTATCCCACCTCATCAGCAAAATAAAAATGATGGTTTAGCAAAACAGTTTTGGTTTCCTGAAGGTATTGCGATGGTCAGCACCTCTTCACTTTCGGATAAAACAGAAGTTCCTAAAATAAAGTTTGATTCCATTTTAACTGTTTAAATAGTCTATTAACGTTTATACAGTGATAACCAGAAAACTCTGGAAAATGAAGACGACTTTTAGGTTGAAATTGCGACTCTAAATAGTCTAATGAACATGAGACACAGCAATTGTGAAGTGTAAACAGACCCATTTCAATTAATTAGTAATTTAACAAGTGTGTAGTAAAACTATTTGCTTTGTAACAACCTCAAATGCACTTAAGTATTGCTATAATGTCGTCTTATTATTCCATTGTTTTCTGGTTATTACTGTGGAAGCAACCTTTCATTTAAAGAGATACATAGCTGACTCTCATACTCACAGCGGTACTATTTAGATCTTTTTTCAATAACGGTTTAGAGATTAAAGTTGATAGCATTTACCTTCAACATGTGTGTCAACCACTTTATTAATAGCCTGGGAATCCCTGTTCTTTAGTTTCGCAACATTAAGTGAGTATCCACTACCAAACCTTCGCTTTAGGAAGAAAGGAGTTCCACAGCATTGAACCTAAACAATTTGACATCAGAGCCATTGATAAAACAATCAGGATAATAAGACTCAAGACAAGCTGTTATCAAAACTTATTAAAGACTCGAGCTTTGGGATAAGTTGGGACTAGATTTGCACACTACAGAGTTGGGACTAGATTTGCACAGTACAGAGTTGGGTTTGATTTTGTATTTGGTAGATTTTCACTAGTTCATGATTTTCTTCTTCGCAAAATCAATGTAAAACAATGCAAACATTTGGATTAGTTAAGTACAAGAGCTGGGAACTCTTGTAAAGCAGATATCAAGATCCTTCTTGATCTCAACCTCATGTTTATTACGCCAATCTAACAGTTTTTTTTTCATAATAATAACAAGCTTTCCCTTATATTAACATTTGCCCAAAAGTGCATGTTTAATAATATATCCATAAAAAGGAAGTTACCTTTCCTCTTGTCATAACTGCAATCCTATCTTACCTTCTCTCTTGTCATTATGGCAATCCTATCTTTCCTTTCCTCTTGTCATAACTGCAATCCTATCTTACCTTCTCTCTTGTCATTTAATGGCAATCCTAACTTACTTTCCCTCTTGGTATAATGGCAATCGTACCTTACCTTCGCTCTTGGCATAACTGCAATCCTATCTTACCTTCCCTCTTGCCATAACTGCAATCCTATCTTACCTTCCCTCTTGTCATAATGGCAATCCTATCTTACCTTCCCTCTTGGTATAATGGCAATCCTATCTTACCTTCCCTCTTGCCATAATGGCAATCCTATCTTACCTTCCCTCTTGCCATAATGGCAATCCTATCTTACCTTCTCTCTTGGCATAATGGCAATCCTAACTTACTTTCCCTCTTGTCATAACTGCAATCCTATCTTACCTTCCCTCTTGTCATAACTGCAATCCTATCTTACCTTCCCTCTTGCCATAATGGCAATCCTATCTTACCTTCCCTCTTGGCATAATGGCAATCCTATCTTACCTTCCCTCTTGCCATAATAGCAATCCTATCTTACCTTCCCTCTTGCCAGCCATAATGGCAATCCTATCTTACCTTCCCTCTTGCCATAATGGCAATCCTATCCCCTAGAACATCAGCTTCTTCCATAAAATGAGTGGTCAGCAATATTGTTCTAGTTTTCTATAGAAAATATAACAAAATTATTTTATTTATAACTTATAAGCAAAAATTATGTGTAGAAAATAAGATAGAAATTTACTTTAAGAGAAAGCAGAAGATCCCACATCCCTCGCCTAGCTTCTGGATCCATACCGGAGGTTGGTTCATCTAACATAACAACCTACAATATACTCATGCTAAATATAATAACATAGGGCTCATCCGGAATAAAACCATGAAAACTATGGATCACTATAGGACTATAATTGAAAGTTTAAACTTTAAATGAAAAACAACATACTCTAATATTTCTACAGATGCTGACTAAGGAGGAAAAAACAACACAAATAGGGCCTAGAAGGGGTCCATATAATTCCATTTCTGATCCAAAATGGAAGCGGGGTTGAAAGTAGATTAAGGGGAATGAAAATACACTTTCTGTGTCATTGTGAACTTTGGAAAGGTGTTTGTGTATGTGTACTATACTTCAGAAATGTGTATTATATCAAATATAAGAGATACATTCTGATGTACAGAAAAATACTCCCTAGCAGTATATATTCTGCAATATGGAATATTGTCTACAACTTGGCATCAAACTCTTCATTTGTTTACAATAACAACATGGTTAATTTCTGCCCCTAATATCAATCAATCGTCATTTGGAATCATATTGGATGGCATTATATGGACCCCTGGGCCCTGCCTCATTTCCAGTTAGATCAGTTTCAGATTACCTTACTATCACCAATAAGTGCAATCCCTAGATTGACTTTTCTCTTCATTCCTCCGGACAAATTGGTTACTATCACATTCCTTTTTGGTATCAGGTTCAACATCTCTATATATTTAGTGGACTCAACTTCTGCTTTCCCCTAAAAACAACAAGTTTAAGATATTGTACCACAAAACTTTACAGCAGAAGACAACTATAAGGTCTTCTTAGATATTTCTAAAATATGATAAATGCTTTTTTTTGTTGTCAATATTATTGAAGATGTTAAGATGTTTGTTAAGATTTCAATTAATAAAATACGATTGAAGTTGTCGAAATTTGAACAAAAATCTCCAGTAATATTGAAAGCACAAGCAAGGCAGACCACATTTTGGAAATACCAGGACTAAAACTATTTTGTGATTATGAACTGTAGAATTGTACTGCTAAAATTAGGTTTACAATTAAAATGCCGCAATTTTTTAAAGATCAAAGACTATCTTCAAGTCAGAAAGCTACTGTCATGTTTCGTGGAGCACCCTGTAACTCAGGGTATAAGGTTTGATTAGGATATTGTTTAGTTTAGTCATGTAACTTCAATTTACAGTGGACAAACTTCTATTTTGGGGCACACTTGTTTCAATGTAAGAAAAAAATTACGGTTAGTCTTAGACCCTAATTTACATGTGGATCTCTCATGGGATTATAAGATTTCAATATACAGATAGATAAATAGATCCGGAAGCCCCGGTACAATATATTGGTTCTGAATTGGAAATTTAAAACAAGTTGTTCATTCTTAGCAGCAGTGAGGTATTATGCATTTAAGTATAGCTGACTAAGTCTTGTAATCACAGACAAAAATGTTTACCCTCTCATGTGAAAAGGAAATTTATAGGATTGTTAAAATAAGTTATCTTAACAAAATATCTATAAGAATTTCTGATCAGCATGTACTTTAAATATTTAGTTATTTCAAAGAATATGGTACTTTCAACCTTTCTTAACCTACCTTGGAAAGTCCTTTGAGCATACCAAAGAATACAAAATGTTCCCTAACAGTGAGATCCTCGAAGAGCATATTGTGTTGAGGACAGAGGCCGAGGCTTTCCCTGACTTGACTCATGTTGGTAGAGATATCAAATCCGTTGATGGTGGCTCGGCCCGCAGTTGGAGAATACAGCCCAGTAAGAACTAACAAAAACCAAATAAAGAAAATTTTAGGAAAATTTTTCTTCATCAAACAAAATAATTTTTTTAGTTTTTTAAAAGGATATGTTGTCTAATGCAACTTCTCTTTTCCCTTATACTATATCATTACCTGACATAGTTGTTGTATTTCCCTTATACTATATCATTACCTGACATAGTTGTTGTCTTTCCAGCCCCATTGTGTCCAAGAAGTGTTGTTATCTCTCCATGGTAAGCTGAGAACGAGACCTGATCAACTGCTAGAACACCGTCTCCTCGAAACTTTGGAAACTCCTTTCTTAATCCACGAACTCTTATTCCTAAATTATAAAACATATATATCATTTGTCACATTGAGTGGCTGCCAAACAAGCCACTCAAAGTTATTTATATTTGAAAAACAAATCACTTTAATTCAACAAAATCGCTTTTTTGGTGGCACATATATAGCCTCAGTCAAGATTTAGTTTCAATAATTATCCCATCCATAGAGTAAAGTTTTATCACTAGTAAATACCTTGTGAAGTATCTTGCACATAGTAACCGCAATCAAAAACTATTTTTTTTGAGTTTTGTGGCTTTCATTTGCCCTAAAAATTTCAAAAATCCCCCAACATTTTTTTTCATATATTTTGTCTACATAAAACGATGTTTAAATGTCAAAACTATTTCCTCCTATCATTTTTTACACACAAAATACCGAATTAATTAAAAAATTTTTATATCATGTTGTTAGTCATTCTTATCTGACCAAGGACCACGGGTTGATAGAAAGAAGGGGACAGGTTGTAGTTTGCATGTACCAAGTATATATGTCTATATTTGGTTTACACTTTTTGATACAGAATTTGCTCAGGTTGCGTTTTGCCCTTGAGGCTGAAATTTTGCCTGCATGCAGTCTTTCGAGGCCATTGACCTCCAAGAACCCTTAAATAGGGAAATTGACACAACCTAGACCAAATACTTAAGCTTTTTAAGAAAAATCTTTATGTTGTAAACAAAAACTTAAATCAAGAGCAGGTCTTAACACTGTCTAAACTCTAACATTTAACCTCTAAAAATGCCAAATAAAATTAATGTTTTCTAAGTAATACTTTAAACGTGAGTTGTTTGTTGCCATTGTTGATACTAAAATTCTCAGACCTTCAGAATAGACAGATCTCCGGAGGTCAGCATATATAACCAATTAAAATGTCCATGTTCAGTTGTTGGTGTTCATATTCTATTCTATCCAAAGCAAACTTTTCAACATTTTTGATTTTATAGCGTTAACAATGAACATCAATACCTAAAAAGGATTGATTGACCTTTAAAAGTCAGAATCTAAAACTTCTAAAAAGATGCTGGATTTGGTGACCAGTTCTAGGTTTTTGATGTTTGGTAAATGTTTAACTGTTAGTGATTAACCTCCGGAGGTCATTATGAAGTTGTATGGTAGGTGATTAAAGGGACTGTAAACGTTATTTAAAGATTTCAATCTTTAGTGACATGTTAAATTTACAATTGTATAACTCTTTAAATTCATGTCTTATGAAAGATGAAAAATTGATTTATTTTGAATAGACTTGCGGATTTATGGTGCAGAGAATATGAAGGAAAATAGCTTTTTCAGATAAAAAGTGACAAAATAATTTAATTGTTAATGGACATGAGTGACACTCTTTATATTATAGACAAAAGATATGAAAAAAAGTTTTTGCGAAAATGCGGGAAAGCATCCTAAACTCAAAAAAAAGAGTTTTTAGATTTCAGTGACTATGTGCATGATATTCCAAAAGGTATTTACAAGTGATAAAACAGACTAGGCGTGGTGGGCATTTAAATAAGGGATTTTTTTGTTAAATATATATATTTTTATTTTTGTGCAGAAGTTGTGCAATCACTATTCACTGATCAACCCTTTTTGATCATTTACCTGCCTCTACATTAGGTTCTGCTTCAAACATTGACAGATCCTTAGCCTCTAAATCATCAGGAACTATTGTGGACGGAGTACTTGAGATCCATGTTGATGGTAGGAATGGAAAATACCAGGGCTGGGCAACTCCATAGTTTCCTGGGACCGAATTTAATGAATTTGAGCTTCATCGCTTAACCACCTACTTCCTCGCTGGTTCAAATTTGAACCACCAATTCAAAGTAAAATATTAAGAATGATTTGAACCGGTGGGGGTACGCAGTTCAAATTTATTAAATTCGGTTCCTGGTCTGATGTTGTCGAGATACCAAATCAATAAAGCATAGACAGCCATATCAATAATGAACATACCCCATACCCAGCCCATACAGAGAGGGTCACTAGGATTAGTTCTTACAAAGAGAGTATCCCATTGAACTCCAACACCACGACCTGACAACATCAAAGCTCATTTTAAAGTATAACAACAGTATAAGAAACAGCATACTTCAACAACAATTTCGCACTTTTGATAAGCAATGATTTCATATCATTGGCTGACATTTTAAAATGAAATTTATTGTTTTCAGATGTTTTCTAAATTTCACGGGCAACGCCAGGCACTTCAGCTAGTTTCTTATGTAACCAAATACAAAATTTCGAACAAATAAGAATTGGTGTTTGATTTAGAGACATTTATTATTCTAAAAACACATCATATTTAAATCTGAGTTTTAATAAATTAAGATTAAAAGCAGAACAAGGCATAGACAATGATTATTTACTTCTTTTCAGCTTAAATCGGAGCACTAGAGAAGTGGCTAAACTATCTCTGCCTGATTCAGCTAGTTCTTGTTATTCATTAAATCTGGTCCCAGGTTTATTTTACATTGCAATAAAGACATTTGATTTCTATCTACTTGTGAAAAAGGTAAATCGTTTCGCATAAATTTCGCATTTTTTCGCATTTCGTTCACTAGAGAAAAATGCGAAAATTTTTGCTTTATTGTGTTTCGCGAAAAAAAAACTTCCGCAAAAAAATAAATGCGAAAATTTCCCAAAATATGCCAAAAATTTGCAAAAAAAAAATACGGAAAAGAAGTTATTAATTAAATGTAATAATAAAACTTCTAATGCTGAGCACTGAAAGCAGAGAATTCCACAAGATTTTTTGTGCAGTTACTGCTGCAGTAAAAAAAGCGGAATTAGCTTTTCGCATTTGCTCGCTTAATTCATTTTCGTGAAAAAAAAAATTTCGCCAAAAGTTTGCAAACGAAAATTTTCGCATTTTTTCGCGAAAGTTTTCGTTCGTTGGAAACCCTAATGTGAGAATGATAAAATATTATTCCAATTATTTCAAACGATTTAAATTATAATTAACCAGAGGTCGTTGATTTCAATCTATAGATCTCACTATCCAATGTGGACACTTTAAATTGAGGATAAATGTTTGATTTCTGCATTAAAGGTATCTCTGCAGAATCAATGTTGCAAGGTTGTTGAAATTTCTAAAAAAAAAAGTGGAAATGCATCTGATGTTTCCTACAGTGCACTATAATCATTGAGAAACAATTACTAAAAGTGCATGTCACTCAAAGTTCAGTGAGTCTTACCTTTAGAACCCATTTATTATTATTTATATTTTTTTTATTTAATTATTAGTCTAAATATTTTAAATATTTAAGCATATAAGATCTCTTACTCTTATTTTGACAGCTTTCAACTAAGAAATTACATTTCCTGATACAGACAGGATACAGACAGGATACAGACAGGATGATACAGATAGGATACAGACAGGATACAGACAGGATACAGACAGGATAAAGATAGGATACAGACAGGATACAGACAGGATACAGACAGGATACAAACAGGATACAGACAGGATACAGACAGGATACAAACAGGATACAGACAGGATACAGACAGGATACAAACAGGATACAGACAGGATACAGACAGGATACAGACAGGATACAGACAGGATACAGACAGGATACAGACAGGATACAGACAGCATACAGACAGCATACAGACAGCATACACTTTGTTGTAGATAATTCTATGTGAAGTGCATACTGAACATGACTACATATATTCATAATTCTACCCACTTAGAACTGTAGAGGCTGCAGAATAAATACAATTATAAAAATGAAACAGAACTTGAGCTCCTCACAAAAGAAAAGAGATTAAGGACACTTTAAGACATGACTCTCTATTTATAGTAATGCACTTGAAGGCATGTGCAATTACCTGATTAAGTCAAGACTACATAAATGAATATTTTCGATTGAAAATATCCTTTCGCATCAGAAATATTGAAAGAAAATTGTGAGAATTGAAAACTTTTCAAGCTAGAATAACAACGATATCTTCAATGTTACTGATCTTTTTTAAAGAGTACTTTTGTCAATCAGACATTCCCCTTTTTGCAACAATCGTTCTTTTGAATAATTTTAGTAAAGTTTATGTAATATAATTAGGTTTTAATTTATTTAAAATTTGCAATTCCTTCACTGATAACTAGAAAACTGTAGAATAGAAGACGATATTAAAGAAATATTGAAGTGAATTTGATGTTATAAAGCAAATGGCTTTACTAGTAACTTAAGTCACTTAGGTGACCTGGGTCTGTCTACACTATACATATTTTCTGTACCCCATGTTCATTGGACTATTTAAAGTCATAACTTGAGTCTAAAAGTCGACTTCCTATTCTAGATTTTTCTGGCTATCAGCGTAGTTTAAATATAATTAGAATAAAATTTACCTTCTAGCTCAATCAAAACCTTAACCCCCCAGACGAGGTTGATATTAGGAAGAAGGCCCATCAGCATCTTGGACTCCATGGGTATACTGAGATATCCATCATCGGTCTGATTAATCAGGTTACTGGGAATGAAGTAGGTCAACACATGGAACAGAACTCCAAGGCCTGGAAAAATTGACATCACCCTATATACGACGGCTTTAAAAGTGCCCTTTTCTCTTCAGACTGTGCAATAATTTGCTTTAGAACGCAATGCAAGCATATCTTAATAGTAGGCCTGGCCAACTTACTGCTAACGATGAAAGTCATAAATTTTCTATGCCTTACCCAAGAGGAACAAAAATACCAAGAACCTTTCATTAGATATTAAGATGGTAGGTCTTATCCCAAACCTTTTTCCCAAGCGGCAACTTCTCAAGGGTAATTTCCCCATGTGGCAACTTCCTAAATGTGGAATTTCCCAAGCAGCAACTTCCCAAGTCTGTAATTGCCGCAGCGCTCCAACCCTAGCCCATCCTAGCCGCAGCGCTCAGCCTCCATTGCAGCCTGCGGCACCTTGAAAGGCCTAACCTAAACTTTGTGAAGTTGCCGCTTGGGAAATTGTCACTTTGGAGGTAGCCCTTGGGAAATTGCCTTAGGTAAAGTTCCTAACACCAGATGTAAATGCCATCCAATATATGAGGTTTGGTCTTAAATAAGTAACGTTAGGTGTTTATGGCTTTAACTATCAATCAATCTCATTTCCACTTTTTGTAAAATCTAATTGAAGTTCTGAATCACCTAAGGCCAAATTTGGTCGGTTGAAGAGCGTAGAGAGAGCAAAGAGTTGAGTTACTAATGCAGAGGCATAGAAGAACAAGAAGAAAAATGTGCACACAGGGTTGGAGAATTCCAAAACAGGTCCGGTACCTTTCAAATAAATATATTCTTAAGGTTAATCACAAACAAAAGATCAAAAGTTAAACTTAAGTTCTAACAAGGAACCGAATTTAATGAATTTGAGCTAAGTTACTGAACTATTGCCAGTTAACCCTATTCCTGCTGGGGGGGGGGGTCAATTTGACCCCCCCTGTAGTTTTCTACATAACTCAAAAAGTATTGGTCTGAGGCTGTTGAAATTTTCTGACTTTTCTTACATACCCAAAGCCCTCCCTTTAGGCCTAAAACCGGGCTTTAATACTAACTGCCTGAGTCCTCAGGCACACTGCCTGAATGACTGCTTTTGCCTGTAACAAACTAAATCTTTGTTTTGACCCACTTTCACTTGTCAGATTTTGATAAAATTTAGCTTTTTGGAAAGCCTATGACATAAGGAAACGGATTACACAAGTTTTGCGAAAAAAATTGCAATTTTTTTTGCAAACAACCTGTCAAAGAAAATTTGAACATTTTTAGTTTTTCTGGATTAAAAATCAGGTTATTTAAAATTTTGCAAAAGTTTTTGCATATTTGAAATGGTCAAGGGTTTTTCAAAAATGTATAATTTTTCTTTTTTGGACTAATTTTTTTTGCAAACATTTTTACTATATAACTGGATTTTGCGATAAAAAATTCAATTTTTGCAAATTTTCAAATTTTTTTGCAGATTCTAAAAGTAGAGCACAAGAGCTTTCTAATGATGTATCATTTGTCATATTTGGACATAAAACATGGGATTTAGAGGGGGGGGTCAACTTGACCCCCCCCCCCAGCATATCTTGGTTTTCAAGTACCCCAGCAGGGATAGGGTTAAATTATTGAATTACTGATTCATGAAGATCTTAATCCGTAATAGTTCAGAAACCCCTCTTATTTATAAAACTCGGCCCCAGTCTATCAAAATATTAATATTGTCATCACTAAATGTCAGTCAGTTTTTAATTTTTGATGTTGACACCATACCTTCTTTAAAAGACACAGAGACAAGAGCAACTATGATGAGTATGGATATGGCTGATGTCATGGCACTGTTAATATACCAAGCTATCCAATGTAACCAGCTGGGCAGACCCATCATCTTCATTAACTCCTACAGTAGTAATTAAGGTAGGAATTATGGTTATTTTCTCAGGAAAGAAAACTGCCATAGAAATATTTACTCATTGAAGCTAGGGTTCCCAGTCAGAATTTCATTGTATTGAAATCCATGACATTGAGAGGAATTGCGTGGAATTATGCGGAATTAAGCGGAATATTTAATAATAATGTTGGTTTGAATCATGTACCTTGACTCCAGTTTCCTTTTCGTAAACAATTCTTTTCAGAACTGGAGGCACAATAAATGCAAAGGAGAGAATAAGGAAGAGTGGTAGCATAAAGTTGAGGATGAGAGCCAAATCATTTTTCACATATGCAGGGTAGGCCATCTGCTGTAGGCCAGTCAACTAATAAATCAATTTTTTAGTAAGATTTCCAGTCAAACATCGCATTTCTTAAACAAAGGTTATTTTTTTTTAGAAATTTCGCAAATTTATAGCTCAAATTACCAGAAATAAGGTAGTAATTTTTAGTAACCCTGCATGGAAAGATTGCATTTCTTGATTTACAACCAATTAGTACATTGATGAAAGTATTTAGAGATATTTTTGACACAGGCTGAGCCCTGACTTCTACAGATTAATTGATTGTTTGTTGCTATTTGATGTTATTTTAGATTAATTAAGCTAACCATTATCAATTTATAAATATAACCCTTATCAATTTATCATTATATATTAATTGATATATTGTCTAATAACTAACCACTTTTATGTTTTGAAGCTCTTCCGTAATACTTAAGATTATCTGGAGAGGATTTTTATCCCTAAGATCACTGCTAAACAGAAGCTTTTCTCCTAAATAAGAAATGGCAGGCTAAAGAAAAAAAGTCCCAAATCTAGTTGAATTTTTTTAGTTGTAAATTCTTTTGTTTACATTACACTGAGTATCTTTTTCATCCATAATTTTAAATTGTACATTATGCATATTAAAAAGATTTTAAATTATTAATTTTCTTCTAAATGATCTTTTAACCTGTTTTAATCTCCATGAAAGATAGATCAATAATTGCCTGAAGAGAGCTTTGGAAATTATATTGATCTCCATTTTGTGCCTAAATAAAATATTTAATTTAACCTGAGATGGAATTTAAAGAATTTGAGCCGCGGTTTAAATCCGCCAAAACCCGGTTTAAATTCAGCGCCGGCTTAAATCTTGAAACATTTGATACAATTTTAAGTGGAACCAACCATATTTAAACCGATGCTTAAATTTAAACCGCCGCTCAAATTCTTTAAATTCGGCAACTGCTTGATCTCAATCTTATGTTAATCTGCAGATAAGTTTGATCTTTTATTCTATATCTCATTAGAGTGAGGGTCAGTGGGGAAACAAACAGCCAATCAGAAGCCAAATTTTGCATTAAACCAATGAGAGAACAGAGAAATTGGGATTGTCCAAAATCAAAGCTCAAAAGTTAAAATTTGCCCACTGTGGATTGTGGATATCACAATCAATGGCTTGGGATTATGGGGTTCCAGCTCAAAAGTTCCCAGAGGCTGAATTTAAAGAATTTAAACCACATCGCTGAACCGCCAAAAACCGGTTCCAGTTGAGCGCTGGCTCAAATCTCAAAACATTAAATACAGTGTCAAGTGAAACCAACCATGTTTGAGCTGCATCTCAAATTTTAGCAGCAGCTCAAATTCTTAAAATTTGGCCTCAATGAAATTCCTTTACCTGAGGTCCATCTGATGTATAAGGATAGTACAATAAATCTGTTCTTTGTTGGGTGAACTCCTGTGCTAGCCTTATTGTGTATTTCAGGTTGGTATCGTCAGGTCTGAATATTCAATCTCTAAACGTCTTTAGCTGGTAGTTTAGAAAACAAAATTGTGTACAAACGTGCAAGAGCCAAGAGCCGGAAATTTAAGAATATTGTTGAACAAAACTCCCAAGTTTCCTTTTTGGGGTCTATACATTTGTGCTTATTTCAATTTCAGAAATCAGAAAACGAAAAGAAAATTTAAAGAAACCACATGAAATAATATGTCTTAAGAACAATATTGGTATTTACAAAACTACATAAACCCATTCATGAAATCGGGTTTCGATTATAGGGTTTCCACGAAATGGCTAAATCTTTTGCGCAAAATTTGCGCTATTTTCGCGCAAATTTTTTTTTGCGAACTTTTGCGCTATTTTTGCGCATGAAGCGCAATGAGTTTTGCGCGGTTTTGCGCTATTTTTTTGCGCAATTTGCGCAAAACTGGAAATATTTTTTGCGAAAGTTGCGCATGAAACGAAATTTTAGTTTTGCGCAATTTTTTTTGCGCAATTTACGCAATTTTTTTGCGCAAAATGTAACTTTTAAGGCAAATTGTCAAAAATTGATATTCTAAGCTTAGAATTAAACAACTGAAGATTTATTCCATACATAAAAAAAATATTAACATACAAGTATAATAACGATTATACTACACTCAATTGGTTACTTCCAGTACAAAAAGTTTAAATTAAGGGACCAAAATTAATAAAATAGAAATTAGAGAGTGTAAAACTTGGCAATATTTTAATCCTATTAAATAATTTCAAGTGACCCTTAAAAGCTTTGCCTAATCAAGTATGAATTATATTCTAAAATTTTTTTAATCAAATTTCTTAAATCTGTTTAATCTCATTTAAAATAATGCAAGAAAGTAACCAATGCCTGAAGAATCCACTTTTAGGAAATATGCATGTCCAAAACTAAAATTGTCGAGAAAATTGTGAGATTTGAACTCTTCTTAACTGTCATTGGTCAATTATGTAAGAGTGACCAATAGGAAGACATTCCAAAACAAGATTTTTCCAGAATTGATTTCTAAGAAACACACACCGTCACCAACCGTTTGATTTTTACGAAATTGCGGAATTGCGCAAAACTTGAGTTTCTCAAAAGCGGAATAGGGCAATTTTGCATGAAATGACTTTTACGAATGATGGTGCAAATTGTTGTTTTTTTCGCGCAAAACTGATGCGCAAAGAAAGAAAAATTTTGCGTTTCGTTCCGCAAAAATTGCACAAAAGTTTTGCGAATGGAAACCCTAGTTTCGAATACTGGGTTTCATTACTATACTCTGTCTTAAGTTTCGGGCTCAGAAGTAATCTTTACTTGATCACTGTTGGTGCTTTACATGTGTAGCAAATCAATGCAGAGACTCTAAAAGGTCAAATGAAAGGGGATATATAGGCTAAAGCCTAGAAATTTGAGGATTTGATCCTGACAATAGTTCTTCTGATGTACCTGTTTCAAGAAATTGATTTAAAACTGTGTCCGAGTTATACAAAGGCTTTAAAATATGTGATATGGTATTTAAATTAAAGTCTAAACAGATAAAATTCAGCAAGTACAGAACAAATCTGAAAATTACAATAACCCAAAGTTCCCTAGAAATTTTAGGCACACTCCCGTTATAACTTGAATATAATACTTATTCATTTTTCATAGATATAATTAATTTTAATCTTGTTTTGTCTGTATCATGTGACCAGATTTTCCACCAATGGCAGTGCAGTATCTGGTTTCATAGACCAGATCACTGATATTAGAATTTTTGTATTTCTTGGACAGGGTATTATTTAATTTCTTGAGACACGGACATCAGATAGAAAAATTATTGGTCACAATCCACCAATAGAATTTCTAGGCTTTAAAATATATCCCCTTTTATTAAGTTTAACAGTCCCTTTAATTAAATGTATCTAACCCTTTTTTGTAGTTTAAAAGTAGTTGAAAATGTGGATAAACACATCTGTTCATCATAAAACATATTTCTACATCAAAGACTTACCCAGACTCAAAGATGATTCCGCCATAGATGATAGGAGTGTCAGAGTCTCCAGTGACTGATGAGGCAGCTGTTACCGTCTCAATTTCATCTATGCTACTTACAGGCCGAACAGCTGAAAAAGATCAATTCGAATAAATGTTAACTATTTAACCCTATGAACTTGTGGAAGCCTGAAGCCCTACACCCTTGAGTCAACTGTCTGGTAGTGGCTAATTCAATCAGGGATCTCAGAAGGCTTGGTGTCTACTGTGAATCAAATCAATGGAGATCTATCTATCTATCTATTTTCTGGTGTATCTTATGCTATACCGTACTTCTGACCTATGCCAAATTCTGATACTACACTTCTGACCTACTAGCTACACGTGGTTTAACAGCTGCTAGTTATACTTCTGACCTACTAGCTGCACGTGGTTTAACAGCTGCTAGTCAGACTTCTGACCTACTAGCTACATGTGGTTTAACAGCTGCTAGTCATACTTCTGACCACAGCGCCCAGTCCCCTAGCCAGTCCTAGTCGCAGAGTTATAAAGTAAAATATATAAAAAAAAATACAAAATATATAAATCAACAAATCAGAAAAACTAATCTTCCTTCTTTTCTCTATACAATAAAGCTCTTCACTCATATAATTAAAAATATATAAATGTTGCTATAGCTGGCCAAACAACTTGACCAAAGTGGCTTAAATTTGTTATTTTTCAAAAATCAAAATGTTTTTTTTAAAAGTGTTATTAAAATACACGGGCAACGCCGGGCACTTGAGCAAGTTATCAATATGTTCATTCTTAATCTTAATTATTATCTTCTTAAATCTTCTTACTTAAAGAATTTTGTATGAATCTGTTGATGTTACAGAGTGCAAAGAAGTTGTTCAAACTCTGTTCAACTTTATTCATCATGGTGGAGAAGAGGGGCTCAGCTGGATAGAACAACAGCTGATGGTTCTTGTATGTTCGTCTATAAAACCGGTTTATGAAAGCCCAGTGTTTTTCAGAGATAGTAAAAGGATTGGTGAAGGGGGGGTTATTAAAACAAAAGGTATATCTAATAATGAAAGGAAAATTTGATGACTCAAATCAAAATTGATCCAGAAAAAAAGTGTATGGTCCGTTCAAAGATTACGAATCTAAGATTGGTATCACAATCCTGCAGAATAATTCAGCTGGAGACTCGGTTTCAAATAAAGTTGGTTTTGATAATCTGTCCTCTAGGCTTCCTCCTTGAGCTAATGGGAGATTTACAATAATCTATATTTATATATGTATATATTCTTTCTCTGTCTGTTTGGGTGTTTGTTTTTGATCGATAAACGTCAACACGGCTGAACCAATTGGGCCCAAATTTTGTACGGGACCTCACATGACCCCAGGGAAGGTTTATGGATATGCTAACAATTAAAAAAGCTGTCTCCAAATTTTATTATTTTCGTAAAATTTTCAAAATCCACGAAAATAAATTGTAAATCCCCTTAATTTTTTGTTTTGTTTTATCGAAGAGAAAATGCTGAAAGGAAAATTGAAATGAAAGATGGACTCGAAACGCCCAATAAGATACTTAATACATAAATAAATAAAAAATTATTATAAAACGAGCCATGGAATTTCCCTCTATAGCTATAAATATAATAACTCAACAGAACAAAGATACTTTTTTATTGTATTGATTAAAATCATAGGTTTTAAATAAGACTATATATATTTATTAATTTTTATGTAACCCCCCCCCCCTCCACCATTAATGTTGTTTGCTTAAAAAAAATCCATTAGATTTTTAATTTATTCACTAATTTTTAATGTAATTGTAAAAATTTCCTATTAGAACCACTATACATATTAACAGGCAAGGAAGAAATATATCAACTGCTGTGGAAATAAAACATCGCCTAAGAAAAGTAAATTTTTTGTATTTATTTGTTTTAACAGTTTACATTGCTTTAGAACTTCACAAAAAAGAAGGAAATCTTCGAAAATTGTTGTAAATATAAAATAAATATAAATTTTCTTCCTTCTAATTATAAAATGTCTCCAAGCCAGCACAAACAATTTTCTAAAAACCATTTTCCTCTGTAATCAACTGTATTAAACAGTTATATGCAAGAATTTATGTAAGAATACTATAGTGATAGGCAACGTTTTGAGGTTAAAAGTTAAAATGCAAGTTACTATTTCTAATTAAATTGCAAAATTGTTTCTTCGATAAGTTTGCTTTAATTGCATTATGAATTTTTTCTTCTGTGATTAACGAAATTAACTAAACGATTTCTCAAAACGAAATACGAAAACAGATTTTCGAATCGTTTTGATAAATCGTTTTTGTCAATATCTCTAAAATATTTAAAAAGGAATTGAGTCTTTGTCACAAACTCTGATTTTCTAATCCTTATATTTTCTGAACCAAATGTCGGAGACCTTAGATATTTCAAACTATGAATTCTGTTTGAAATATAAAAGGTTAACAACATCAGGTCACTGAGATATTGGAATTCGAAAGCTTAAGTTTTTGACAAAAACTCTATTCCTTTATATTTTTCAATTGTGGTTTCTGTCAAAGGTGACTTGGGCATTTCTTATTCAGAAACTATGGATTTGTATCGGATTACAGATGCAATTGCGGTTGTAAGGGCAACATTGTGAATCGAACCATGCCACTAAATATATGGAGAGTCAGTTGAAACAACGCCTTTTGGAAAAGTTATCGATTATGTCCAATTTTATTATTGTGCTCAGAGAGGCTACGACAAGAGTTAAACAGTTAAAAGTAACTTTGTTATTCAAAACATTATGTCGTACCACAAAAGTGTACTCTTGTGTTTACGGTTTTCAGAAAAAATATTTTTTACAAAATATTTAATTTCTCCCAAGAATAATTTCAATAATTAGATTTGAAATGTTTAGATATTTATACATCATCGATTTATTTTGTGAAAAGGGCACATCATTGAACTTTATAAGCTTTCTCCCAGCTTTCTAATATCTATCTATCTATCTATCTATCTATCTATCTATCTATCTATCTATCTATCTATCTATCTATCTATCTATCTATCTATCTATCTATCTATCTATCTATCTATCTATCTATCTATCTATCTATCTATCTATCTAAGAATCTCGGAACCCCAGGTATGTGTAGTGTACGTAGGTTTATATCAGTACTCCACTCAACTCGGAAGACCAGAGAAAGGAAGGAATTTACAAAACAAAATCTTTACACTCGCCTCAGACTCTAATTTTCTAATCTTTACATCTTTGAAACCTGGGACAGATCTGATGAGATAAGTTAAGTTAGACGTAGTTGAACCCCATAGACGTAGTTGAACCCCATAGACGTAGTTGAACCCCATAGACGTAGTTGAAACCCATAGACGTAGTTGAAACCCATAGACGTAGAATTGAAACCCATAGACGTAGTTGAACCCCATTGACGTAGTTGAAATCCATAGACGTAGTTGAAACCCATAGACGTAGTTGAAACCCATAGACGTATAGTTGAACCCCATTGACGTAGTTGAAATCCATAGACGTAGTTGAAACCCATAGACGTAGTTGAACCCCATTGACGTAGTTTAAATCCATAGACGTAGTTGAAACCCATAGACGTAGTTGAAACACTAAGTGCACCGGCTCGAGTCAAACTCCTTATCCCACTCTGGGCCATAGTAAATTTGAATTCGAACAGGACCTGCCCAGTTTGTACCGGCCTGCCAGATAACAGCGTGTACTGACCGGATTATATGGTACAGTACATCGCCCTAACCAGACTAACATACGACAGGGGTCAATTTTCTTGTCGTAGTCCCGTCGGAGGGCTAACTATGACAACTCCCATGGCGCGTTCAGACTTTTTACTAGGCCTATTTGACCGACCCCACTGGCTTAGTCCACCGTGATCCCTATTCATTAAATATAGTTCCTATTTAAAAACCTTAGATATTTCAAATTTTGACAATTTGATCTCGATTCTAGAAATATAAATGTTCCAAGACATCAGGCTGAATTATTTAAAGCATTAAAAAATTAGAATTTGAGGAGAGTAATCAATTCTTTCGCCAGCTGTCATGTTTTATTTAGACTTATTCATCAGCATCATTAAATTAAAACTCCATATATATTTGCAACCCATGTCGCAGTTCATAATATATGATATATATTGAATCCAATAATTCAAGTTTGAACCATCAGGTTGGAAAGAAATATGGATTCGAACATTTGAGTTTGTGGCAAAGACTCAATTCCTCTCTCAATGGCCAAAGATCCAAATATGTGTGGGACTGATTTCAACTTTATCTGTATTATTTTAATTTTATTTATATTTTATATTGTTTAGTAATGCACACGCGCGCCAATTTCGAAATTCCCAGTGCCGCGCAGCCAAAATATAGTTTGTGAGAACCTTTGGTTGAAATCAGACACACCATGTGCACACTGCACAGGAGTTAATATAGTCTTAATATTAGACAGATATATAGATAGTTATCTAGATAGAAAATTATGTTGATAGATAGTTATTTAGATAAATAGTTATAGAGATAGAATGTTATCTAGATAGATAGTTATTTAGATAAATAGTTATTTCTATCTATCTATATATCTATCTATCTATCTATCTATCTATCTATCTATCTATCTATCTATCTATCTATCTATCTATCTATCTATCGATCTATCTATCGATCTATCTATCTATCTATCTATCTATCTATCTATCTATCTATCTATCTATCTAGGATAAAGAAGATCTGACAGAAGATATAACTCACTCCATCATTGCTTATGTTCAGGTTTTGATTTAAGAAATTTAAAAAATTAATTTTTTTTCAAAATAATATTAATTATGGTAATCTCATGATTTATGACGCATTGTATTATATATTGTGGTAGCTGAAGGACCCGGCGTTGCCGTGGAATAAAAAAAAATGAAAAAAAAAATTTCTAAATATTTCTTAGCCTATAACACTCCCCTGCCACCCATGAGTATTCACAAAAAATTTTAGCCCAATCGGTCCACCCGCTTGGCCGGCTAAACGCAACATGTATATATATACAAATGTCTTGCTTTATTATATTGTATTATATATTGTAATATATATTGAATTATATATTGCATTAT